ACTACCTATTTCTTTGCAACTGTGCAACTGTGAGTGGCATATTTCGGAGCCAGTTCAGATTTGATTGCATACCTCTTTAGGCAGTATTAAACCTAAATGCGGGGGTGCTAAGGTAGCAACACTATTACCATCTATGATCTGATTAACGATGGTCTGCTGGCACCATCATCTTGATGAAAAGAAAAAAAAAATTTAATCTCTCTCAGTGTTATTGCTAGGGCTGCTATCTTGCTCTGTCTCGTTATCTTCAGTGTCTGCACTGGTCTACTTTCTCATCACCAGAGTTGTTCATATCCTCCCTGTCATGTTTTTCCATATATGTATGGTGATTTTCTTTAAATGTCTTTAAACAATCAGTTGTACTATCTCTTATTTTGATGTTCAGTGACCTGTGGGTCATTACAGTATGAAGCAAAAGCTGTGAGTGGAAGCATAATTGAATTACAGTGTGCCCTTTTTTTTTTTCGCTCCAGCAGTTTTGATTTGTACAGGTTAGTGCTGGTGTCTCCCTCCAGTATTTGATCTAAATTTGATCTTAAACCAAGCAAATATAATGGCTTATTTTGTCATTCATACCCTTTTACTGTTTATTGACATACACCAGAATTCTATTAAGTTTTTTAATGTTCTTATTGTTATTCCTTTGTTGTTTATTCTTTGGGTCACATTTGTGGGCCGCCTGAAAGGCAAAGCTTGCAGTTACAAAGGCATTTAATAGAAGAACAAATTTCAATAATTTCAAACATAAGTAATAGCAATGAGGTTTCGGGTTGCACTTTAAAAGTGCATGTTACCTTGTTGCTTGTTGTGTACTGTAATCACACTGTTCAGAGCCTATCTTCTGATTTCCTTGCTTTTATCATCTCTTTGTTCATATTTTTACAGAGACGTTATTGTCAAGTGCATCCTTTTCCTGATTTTTCAGCTTACTATTCCAAACCAGTACTGCAAGCTACTGTAAATTGAAATGAGCAAAATCTAACAAAAGGTTAGCTAAGTTATACTGTATACCCAGAGCTTTATTCTGTGGAATGCAATGTGTGTGTCCTTATAACTCATTCCTGTGAAGGGCCTACAAAGACACTTGTATCCAGAGGCCTCACCACGATCATGGTTTCCCAATGTGTCTATAGGGACTCAGAGATAAAATACGCCTTATGCATTGTTTTTTCAAGAATCCAAGTTAAATGCAAATCATTTTTATGTTTTTTTGTAAAAAAAACAAAACAAAAACATTTCAACCATAGAAGATGGAAGTGCAGCGATTAGAACTAGATGCTGAGAGATCTATTTCCCCAAAGGTTTCTGATATTAAAAATGCACCAGAGAAACATGCAGGGAGAAATAAATACTGTGGATTCTAATTGATTTATAATTTCATTTTGAGCTGTGAAAGCAATAACCAAATTTAAAGACAGGCTGAAATTAAAAATAATTGGTTATTTATAATTGATCAGCAACAAAAAAATTTTTCCCTTTAATCTTTCATCAAAATTCAATTGCTTCCCTCTGCCTCTAACCCCTTTCTTATTTTTGATGTCCCCATGGGAATACCATAATATATAAACAAAATTCAAATCCCCAGCACCCTTCTATGCATACACAAAACAAATATGCAGTGCAGGTTACCTCGGGTAAGTGATTGGCTGAATCTAGTGTGTGTGTATATGTGTATACCACGGTGGCTTAGTGGTTAGCACGTTTGCCTTAGCTTTAAGACATGCTAATCAGGAGTTAAGCAGTAAGTCAAGGCTATAACTCAAATTCCCTGACTTCGTGTTTCTTGTGTTATTTATTTACTACAATTTAGTGACAGCAGTATTTCTGTTATATGTCAGTCGTAAAGAATATTTGTGAACGTTTTGAGCATTCCAGTCTTCCCATAAGTTAATCTCAAGGTCACACACACACACACACTTTCTCTCTCTCTCTCTCTCGCTCTCTCTCTCTCTCTCTCTCTCTCTCTCTCTCTCTATCTCTCTCTCTCTCTTACTCACTCTTATCCCAAATGTAAACACACTGAGAATGAATTATGCAAACATTTAAAGGTCTAGATCATGCTAAAAAAAAAACTGCACTGCATTTTGGCTGCACTCAGCTCATCTAATCCAATTGGATACACACAGGTCACTAACATTCAGATAAACATTTAACACACACTGTTTGTAGTTTCCCTGCAAATAAGCGTGAGACAAATCATAAAAAGGAAATCATACATTCTCCATTTTGTATTTTTAGCTGCACTGTTTCTTCATCCTTAACACATCACCATTACTATGTGCTTCGTATACACCTACACACACACACAATACTTGAATCTGCACCTAGGACTGATTCTGCACTTGTTTTCAGAGAACATGTCATCATTGCAGATGAATTGCTTTTGAAGCCAAGATCGATCAGTTCTGCTGTGCGCATAATTTTGCCAAAATGGTAGCATCTTGTACATCCTGTTACTGTTACTTATATTATACATGTTCACATAAGTATTGTATTTTCCATCTAATCATAGTTACTTTAGCTTTGGTCAACATGGGTACAGTTCAGTTGAAGCCTTATAATCTCAAATATACAAAAACTCATTCTTTCATTCACCAGCAGGAAGCGATTTATCCTGGTCAGGGTCACAGGGGATCTGGAGCCTTTCCCAGTTCACACCTGGATTAAACAATTAAACAGAGCTAATCCACCTGGCGGCATGATACCAGAGAACTTGGAGGGAACTCACGCGGACACAGTGGGAACATGTGAAACTCAACACAGACAGTAACCCAAGCTCAGGATGAAACCGCAGACTCTGAAGCTGTAAGGTAGCAACATTATCCACTCCACCACTGTGCCACACTACTCAAAGATAATTCAAAACTTTTACATTGTAAGTTGCACTTAAGTACATTCTTTACTTCTCATATGGAGAAGTGAAACCCACAGACATCTGCAGACCATAACATCCCTTTTACTGTTATTTTGAAATTTGAAACAAAATGTAACATAGCAACTTCAACCAATCACGTTACTTGAAGACCTGGGAATGGATCGCCTTCACACAGACTGCAGCCCACAATCATTTGAAATGAACACCAAACCATCATTTCTGGGTAGCGGGTTTAAAAACAGCTTTCATACTTCACCAAATGTACCAAACTGTTGGTGCAGATGGCCTCATGAAAAGCATGAATCCAGTACAGCCAATTTGCAAATTTCTGCAAGTTCTGCACTCAAGTCTCCATCATTGAACAGTTGATAACTTCAATACAATAGACTTTAAGTTACAACTATAATGAATTTAGAAATGACTCTGATGCTTATACTCATAAGTTGCTCGTAAGTTCATAAGTTCCTGTTTACACAATTGCACTTTTTGACTATATAGTATTCAGTTATATAAGCAATATTATTTATAATCACACTATCCAGTGTCACCTAGATGAGGATGGGTTCCCTTTTGAGTCTGGTTCCTCTCAAGGTTTCTTCTTCATGTCATCTCAGGGAGTTTTTCCTTGCCACTGTTGCCTCTGGCTTGCTCATTAGGGATAAATGTAAAATTTATATCTGGAATTTATATATTTCTGTGAAGCTGCTTTGTGACAATGTCTGTTGTTAAAAGCGCTATACAAATAAAACTGAATTGAATTGAATTAGATTTACGTAGGGAGGTCGTGAAGTAATTCTGTCATTTGTAGTCGCGACTGCAAATGATTGTATCTGTGATTTTATTCTCCCTTTTCCACTGAGCAAAAGAAATAAAATGAAAATAAAAGTTTTCAAAATAAAGATACATATATGCTATTATAAAGTCTCACTTAATATTCTCATATACCACAATATCCTAATAGCAGTGTCCTATAAATAAATTCATAATCCTAAATTAGAAACATATCACCACTTGTGACGCAAACATCCAGGTTCCTAGGAGTGAGAAACTCACTTGCTCTGAGTTAATTTATAGCCATCCAGATGTAAGAGTTTTATTACGAAAGACTTAAGTATCTTAACCTTCTATTTTTATACCACTGCAAAGATATAGCAGTAAATTCACTGTGCTGAATTACTTTCCATTTTTTACTAAAAATAGATCACAGCTTCCAAAAGGCATAGCTTATACGATATCAGGCGTGGGCTGTTTTCCTGGGGGGATTTCTCATGTGGCAATCCAATGCAGAATGGTATAGGAAGTATAAAAAAATGGTGTGCACAGAAGTTCCTCAGAGGTTGAAAAGGTTTCTGAGATGAAGAGCAAAAAACAGGGATCAGTTGTATAAATTGCTGGTAGGCCACACCCCCAAGGCAGCTCCAGCTCTCAGCTTAGTAGAACAGATACATGATGTGCATATAACAGGCCAAAACCTAAATATCTGACAGTCCACAGCAGTCTGATGCTTAACTGGGTCCAGGATGTTTGACAGTATATGTGTGTTTGTTCATGGCCTCATTGGCACCCACAGCAGCTTCATGACACTTATGCATAACGCATCCCACGTCCGGAGGATGCAACACAAAAGGGGCTGTCAATTAAAAGCGATGGTTGATGCGCCTTCCTCCATACATCTGCTAGAAGAAAGGGAGGAGAACAGATGAGTAAAAAAGAAAGGGAATAAGAGGAGGAGGAAGGCAGAGGACAGCACGAGGGAAAATATGGTATATAAAATATAAAAGTAAACAACATGGACTCTCAAGTGATTTATAAAGCAATTCAGTAGCAACTGAGAATCAACAAAACTCTCTGGATGTCATATTTAGTCATAAAGGTTAGAACCTACATACTTGTAACATGACACAATTGTAATAGTACATCACTTCTCTGTAGCTGTTTTTTTTTTTAAAAAAAAAAAACCCTGACTCATCCACTTTTGCTTAAGATGTTTGTCAAAAACCTATTTGTGTCAGGTAAGCAACAACAGCAACAAAAAAAGCAATTATTTTTCTAATATTATTTTTTTCTTGTTTCAAAAGACTGACCTCTGTGCAGTTGTGCTGCACATAAACACCTTCTCCTTAGAGCCTGGATAAGCTCAGTTAGTAGCACATCAGGCGTTTAACCTGAGGGTCCAGGGTTCACGTCCCTGTTCAGCTGTGTACGTTTTGGTCAGTGGTGGCTCTGAGTTACTGATCAGAAAGTCAGGGGTTCAAGCCCCAGCGCTGCCACTGTTGGGCCCTTGAGCAAGGCCCTTAACCCTCTCTGCTCCAGGGGCAGTGTATCATGGCTGACCCTGTGCTCTGACTCCAGCTTCCTAACAAGCTGGGATATGTGAAGAAAAGAATTTCACTGTGCTGTAATGTATATGTGACAAATAAAGGCTTCTTTTTTTGTCATAGAATTATGAGTAAATTATAGTAACTATGGCAAAACCACTGGGACTCATTAATCAAGCTGGTACAAATGGATTTATTCCTAAATCGTTTATATGAGGGTTTGTGCTCCTGAGAGTGTGAAATCTTACTCATATAAGACTAACTCTAATGTAAACTTCAGATCATATAATTAGCAAAGGAGTTACTGCATTTTAATACACGCATTACGCTGTCAAGTTTAAACTGCATGTTTATTTCAGATATACACAAATTTAATCTGTCCTTTCATATTAACTGCATTAAGGAAATACTGTATTAAATATATAAAAGACAGCAAGCCAAATAATTCTAGTCATTCAATTAAGAAGAAATGCCACCATATAAAAGGAGGATGTGCTGGTCTGTGCAGATGGTAGCCATAAGCTGAGGCTGTGCAAATGGCAGAAATGATATTACTGGAAGAGTTAGCACATGCTGCACATAGGAAGGAACAGATATTTAGAGATCAGTATGATTTCTTTTTTTTTGGGAGGATGAAAGCTTGTAAGTCAGCTACGTATGCCACAGCATCTTTTTTTTAAACCTGGGCAACACTTTAGATTCAGCATGAATTCGGCAGACAAAAAGATTCTGTGCCATTCCTGTGTGTGTCCAGGTGTTGTCTGTGGTGGATTTCTTTCTACTGGCACGTTTGAAATAGAGATAAGTGACCGATCAGGTACTGTATGTCTCACTGCAATGTGGCGTATACTCCCTAGTGTTCTGCAGATCATTCACTTCCTTCCTTTGCGTCATTCATCTTCTTTTCTAACATGGCATCAGAGAGGGTGTGAGGGATTATCTGGCTGAGACAGAACGCTTAAAAAAAAAAAAAAAAAAAAATTTAACATAGCAGGTTCTCTGTGTGATGTGCTTGGTGTCCAGAGACCCATGGGTACAGTAGATATATATATATATATATATATATATATATATATATATATATATATATATATATATATATATATATATATATTTCCTTCATTTTCAAAAGTCAAAAATTTCACATCTACTTCTGATAAAGTCTATTTTTGCCTTTGACTCATAATTTCAGCTGTGTGAGCTTTGCCTTTTATGGAGTTTTATGGGCATAACCAAGTGCAAATCAGATGTGCTGTGTATGCGCCTGGTAATTTACGGGTGATTGGCATTCATCAACATACACATGCAAGGACGATGAAAATCAGCATTTCTGAAACTTTAGCAAATCTGCCAGAAATTTTTAGTTCAATTGGCTTACACAAAAACATTTACACACAACTTTACTAAAAGATTAGATAAATGAGGCCCATTGCTTGAAAACCATGTTATCACCAAAAAAAAAAAAAAAAAGAATATTTTCAATGAATGTACGATGGTTTTTTCAGGATGTACATGTAAGTATACAGAGTTTTTAATATGATGTTACAACCGACCCATGCACTTTACCACTGTCCCACTTTGCCAGTACACCTGTAACATATATTGGAAAAAGTACAGTACTTGCTGTCGATATGGGTAACCTTGCGCTTGATAAAAGAAGCAAAACTATGCATGATGAAGTCTGTAATTTAAATCATTGTTGCCTTAAGTCTAAAAACTGTATCTAAAAATATTCCCTAGAACCTTCAATTTACCTTGAAGAGGAAAAAAAGTTACCCTTATTTCTTCTATCTCTGTCTCATCCTTGTCAAGAGATGGAGCCTGGTGCAGCCTAAAATAAGACCCTTCAAACTGGAGACAATCTGCATTGAAACACTGTCCCCCTGGCTGTTCCTCTTTTCTTTCCAGCTAACAGAGCTCCAATACAAACCTCAGCAACAGTAAGATCTTCCTAGGACTGTCCCAGATGGACCAATAAGGAACAAGTACCAAAGAACACTCATGGCAATTATGCCAAACAGATAAAAGGACATTATATGTTATTTTTTGATTAAGAGAGTGACTATTATAAAAAAATACTAGTGAAATTGTTATACTGTTAACACTATAGTATACAGTTATACTGTTAACAGTGTAGTATACAGTATACAAATAACTAGGAACAGTGATGCTTGGTTGTATGGATATCATACATTGCCTTGAACTTTTCCACATTTTGTAGTACAGCCTGGAATTGAAATGGACCTAACCTAACACAAAGGTTAATTAAACAAAAAGACAGCCATTAGTTTGCTGAATAAGTATTCACTTCCCTGGGTCAATTTAGCTGTAATGACATCTGCAAATCTTGCCTCAGATTCTCAGATTCAAGGCTGGGCTTTGACAAGGACATTCTAACACATTTAGGTTCTCGGTTTTCAACCACTCCAGTGTAGCTTTGGTAGTTTAGTATTCTTAGGATCATTGTTCTGTTGGAAGATTAACCTTTTGCAAGGTTCTAGGGTTGCCCTACATTTGGCTATACTCATCTTGCTCTTAACCCTGCCCATTTTCCTGTCTGCACAACAAGATGCTACCACCACCATGCTTCACTGTGGTGCAGTGTTGGGTTTCTGCCAAATGCTTTGTGGGCAAAAAAGTAGTTTTGGTCTCGTCAGACCAGAGAACATTTTTCCACTCGTTTGCTGAGTCCTTAACATATCCAACATCTTTTTTTCTTCTTTCATAAAGTCCAAATATTTGGAGTAACTGGGCTATGGTTGTCCTGTGAGCATTTTCTCCCATCCGAGCAGTGGAAGAACTCCCCAACTCCTTCATAATTACCCTTGGCCTCATGGTTGTTTCTCTGACTAATGCCTACTTTACCCTGCCACTGACTTTTGATTGACATGCTCCTCTAGGCAGAGTCAATGTTATGACATATTCTTTTAATTTTTTAACAAGGGACTTAATAGTGCTCTGCAGGATGTTCAAAGTTTGGGATATTTTTTTTATAACCAAACCCTGATTGATACTTTCCCAGAACTATTATTGACATCTCCTTGGTCTTCATGATACTGTTTGTTTAGATATGATCTCTAACAAACATGTGTATATATATTCAGGTCATGAGACACTTTAGACCCATTAATGTGACTTCTATGGCAACTGGTTGCAACAGAACAAATGTAGGGGTTTCACAGAGACAGGGGTGAATACTTATGCAGTCAAATTTTATGTTTTTTTATTTGTAAATAATTTGCAAGCTATATTGATTCCCTTCCCTTTCAATATTCCGGGCTATTTGGCCTAGATTATGTCCATTTCAGTTCCAGTTTGTAACTCCACAAAATGTGGAAAGGTTCTTGGGGGTAAATACTTATGCAAGATACTTTACGCTTAATTTATCATTAGATCCCAACCTTAACTCTGATTAATCTGATGACAGCTGTATAAGCAAAGACTTTGAGAAGATATTATGAAGTCAACAGACTGCTGATTATTTGGCCTCATCTAATATTTACAAAGGAATTATGATGATTTTTATACGAAACCAGAAATTAAAATTCTTAAAACCACCTAGCATTTGTGTATTTGTTTAAATTGCAGTGACATTAAGTATATCCAAACACAGCCACATGCATTTTTCAAAGCCCCTACTAAAGGCAGAACATTTTCCATCCCTTTGCAGCTATAACACACCCATTCAGATGTTCCTTACAAAACAACCCAGAGATTTGTGAAGCTGGTGGCACACCTTTATTTAAAAATGGATTAGAGCGACACTAAACAATCATATATGGGATCATGTATAGAGAATAGAGCAATTAGTGGTCTCCTTCAAGTGTGTTCAGCTGCCCTGTGATGTTGCATGAGATGCAGTTTGATAAGATATGTTTCTTGGAGAAAGCATCTGATAGTGCTCCTCATGCGAGATTGGTAACAGCTGTGCAATAGGAAAGATTCAGTGATTGGCTACGGCTCAATTTGAGAGAAAAGGATGTACTGGGTAAAGTGTATACACATTGCTGTTTTTTTGATAGAGCTTTTTTATTTTCTCATTTTATTGAACCTTATTCTCCACCACTGTTTACATTGTTGCTATGCAAATTATCTGATGTTAATTTTATACATGGACGTCTTTTTTTACTGTGTTGATAATGATAGTCAGTATAACCAACAATTAATTCAATTAAATTTTATTTAATTAATTTCAAGTGAGCTTTATGCTAATAAATATTGATGTTTCACCAAACAATTATCAGGGATAATTTTAGCTCAGCAGCACTCTTTTTTCCCCTTTTAATAGACAAATCTGAATAGCTTTTGTATCTGTTTTCTACAGTAATGGGGTGAACTCTGGGGTAAATGTTACTCTTACATAATCTTTATTTCTTGAATGACCTTCAGTGGTATTATCAAAGAAAAGCAAGGATCAAAGAGAATTAACCAGCGCTGTCCTCTGACCCAGACGTGATGAGCGCTGGGGTGTTATAGATTTTTTTTCTCCTCTAGATAGTGCTACGCGTCATGGTATGACTACTAATTCGAATCCTGAAGTATCCAAACCCTGGTCCAGTACCTGTAAGTTGGACGAATTTCTACTTGAGATTTTCAAATTTATTCTTTGACACAAATTAAAAACAGGCGTATTATCTATTTTATGGTAAAATATGCATATCGTTGTCACTTATTTACTTTCTCTGTAGGAGGCACACTGAGTTTGATAGACATCAGTACTGGTGGCAAGCAACCCAAATGTAACCAACTGAGTGTTGAGTGCAAAATTTGTCATATGACATTAAAATTGAGCCAAAATATAACACAACGTTTCAGTTTCTCATTAACTGTTTCTCACTCACAACATTAATTCCTACCTGCAATTATAGTTACTCTATTTAC